TAGACAAGCACATAATCATATATACGGAGAGGGTAACAACAAACAAAGAAGAGTGCATAATAGAAAGGAAATGAGTAAGGAAGAAAAATAAAGAGAACTATGGAAAGGAGATAAGGGGTGAAAAGAGAAAAGGAAAACATATTAATAGAATAAAGATAGAGACATTCTGACAGATCTATAGAGACAGAGACAGATCATAGAATTAGGACCTGGTTTTTAAAAGTTTAAATTCCGAAGGGATATGTACAAAAAAAAGCAGACAAACAATTGCTGTAAAATAGAGAGCGATTCTAACCACAAACAAAAAAGTAAAAGAGAAAAATACTGCTAAAGAAAAGTCACAAATGCAAACTTAATTGATAGATTATCCTAGCATCAAATAAGAGAGGGGAGCGACTGGACCCATACAGGAAACGAGCAGAGAATGAACAGGTTTATATCCTACATTCAAATCTATACATTACGACTGAATTCCTAGATAATGGTGGAACGACGAGACAGTAACCGCTTCTGAAAAGGTCCTAAATGAAGCGCAGTATAAGTGAAAGTATGCAAGATCATTTGTCAATTAAACTTGAGATTTATTGGACCGATGCAAGATCTGAAAAGAGGAGACGCCACCGAATGAATGTCCTTGGGTTCTGATTGTCCTAAGAGCTTGAAGGACAGTATCCACAAATTTACTTCATCAACTTTTGTTGATTTTAGTTGATGAAAAAAAAATGCTGATAATTCTGAATTCCTTATCTTCCAAAATGAAAACTAAGAGGGATGCAAAATAATCTATTTTGCATGCCAAATTAGAAATATGCTTTTGTTTCCCTTTATTTCAAAAGTTATAGGTTACTCTTGGTTGTCTTTAGTCAAGAAGACAAAGAAATGACTATGAGATTGTAATTTCGTATTAATGTCATACACTTATCAATATGGTAAACAGTGACACATTTTGTTGTACAATGGATGCAAATGTTTGTCTTAAAATGATATTCAAGTCTATTTTTAATTATTATCATGCAAATGGGCATCTTTTCATCGAAGTGTTAATTTTTTGACATTATTTGTTAAACTTCAGTTTGATAATCTTTAAAAATTCCTACACATGATATCCATATATGCATATTGTGATATTTAAAAAACCTTCTCATTACACAATCGTTTTTGCTTCTTTTTTTGGAGGGGGGGGGGGAGCTTTATTTTGCTATGCCTACTATAGGTAATTTTGATTTATCCTTTTTATTCATCTAGCTATCACTTTCACTCTCACTTTGTTTCTCTCTCTTACATAACACCATTTCATTATATCTTATACAGCCACTTCCAGAGCACCAACACATACATATGTTCTTACCAACAAATTAAAATCAAATATACATAACCATATCTCTCCCACTTTCTCACTGCTAACTTTCCAATCAGAACAAAACTGTGAGGCAAAGAAAACTCAATTCCAATAGCATATAATTGTTGTTTTTTTTGTCTGTGGAATAATTTATTCCTTTACTTTTTGACACAAAACTAATCTCCACATGCTTTACATGCAGATCAACACAGAGTAGGACCCAGTCCAAGTTGAGAAGATTTTGAAAAAACAAAACTCAAGGAAATAAAATAATTAAACAAAGATTACAGCTTATAAGTTTCATCTTTACTTAGCATTTTTAAAATCATCTATTTCTCCATCATTCATACCATCTTTACACTTTACTTTGTGAACAAAAAGTCGATTTTGTATTTTTTTTTTTACTCTTCATTATTTTGACAAAAATCTGTACAATCATTTTAACAACACTGCTCATTTTTTCTGTGATTGATTCACAATCACTCACATTCATCTCTGTACAATTATATATCTCTTGAAATAGAAAGAGAAAACAAAAAATCATACTATAATGATAACCCACAAAACAAAGATTGCCATTTTAAAATAACAGTCCTTCTATTGACGAGAAAGGAAAAAAATGTCATATTGGAGGTTAATCTTACTAACAATCTCATGAAAAGAAAGACAAAATGAGACAATCCAAAGTCCCAAATTGAAAATGAAAGCTTACTTAATAGCTACACACATCTCATATATTTCCACAAAATCTGAAAAGGGGACAAACAGAATGTCAGTTTGCAGCAAAAAGGGCATTCGTGGAGCAAATGCGACTGAAAAGCAAAAAGGACATTGAAGTAATCATATTTTAAAATTGTCTGTAATGCCCATTTGGCTTTCCAAGCCTCACTTGCGTATATTTTCGTGCTGAGCCAACGTTATGACAACATTCTGAAATGGAATAGTAAGTGGGAGTGAGGAAAAAGACAAGAATTTTCCCCCACAGAAGCTGGGAATATCCCCTCTTTCTTCAAATATGTGACACAAATATTAAAAACAATCAAATATTTCACCTCTTTTCAAAATATGTGACACAAATATTAATGAAAGCAGAATTACATTGTAAATTTCATCCATCAGAATGAGTTCATTACTTCATGGCCAGTGCATGTAAGGTTCTATTACATATCTGTTTATCACATAATACTTTTCACAAATTAATAGACTCTCCTGATAATGAGATGGTAATTAAAGTGTCAAAATGTATACCATGAGCCTTCAGACTGTGTCACGGAACAGAATATATCTTCATCATAACAATTATGATCACAATCATTTGAAATTAATAATAATAATAATACAAAGACGGTGGTACATATACACAGTGTTACATATCAATTCTAACCCCCTCTATTCTCGCATCAGCATTCATTCAAATTTTGTTGGAATTCTCAAATTCATACAACTTGGTTTTGAAACATCTTTCAATTTTCAATTTCATTTTTAAAATGAAAGCATTCTTCAAATGATCTCATCGCCCATTTCCAATGCTATTGTTGGTTTTTATTTCTCAAATATAATTCTTCTGCACATAGCACAGGTGGTGCCTGGGCTACGTAAAGCTTTGGCAAAATAGTTACACAACATAAATACATAAAAACTAACTCACACAACACAAAGTCTTAATATATTCATATGTGATTATAAAAAGATTAATATACACCCCCACCCTTGGTAGTTTCATCTGAATCAAAAACTTATCTTTTTCTAAGATAAAAGATGTCATTACATTAGTTTACCTTTCTAATCAGTGGACGGTACATCGTTTGACTCTTTCCTTTAAAAGAGAACTGAATTCTTCTCATCCATCACCAATTCTAAATTCTCTGTAGGATTTAATTCATTCCTTTCTTCTTTTATTATCTGTGCTCCGTTATCATAACACTCTCACACACAAATAAAGGCAAAGAAAATTGTTAAAAGACATTTTTATCGTACATACATACACATTGACAGACAGATAGACGGATGCATACGCAATATTTTTGAAGAATTACAGAGACACACCATACACACATGCAATAGAAAAAAGAAACTGCTCTTTCATTTCTAAAATGAGAGATCATTTCAATATATGACTGTATTACACTCGCAACAAATAAAGGAAAAGACATAGATTTTTCTTCTTGTTCTATCTTTGTTTCTATAAACAAAAACAGCTGACCTAATCTAAATCTTTTTATATGGAGGTAATATGACTTTTCTTCAACAATCTAATACATCAAACTATTTTAGATAGTTGTATTCAAAGTGTGATTGTTGGAATAAATAGAAATGTCAAACTTTGTACAAGAACAGGCCTGTCTTACAAACAGAACGCAATCGAGAAAGAATAGGTTCTAAGAAGACAAAGAGGAAATATAACAAATGAAGAATGAAGCAAAATGAAAGTCATTTGGCAAGAAAACTTTTGTGGGATGAAAGGTGACAAACTAGCCTACCCTAAACTAGTTCATAGTTGTCTACAATTGGAATGGCATCGACTGTTTTTCCACTTCACATCTTAAACAATGTATCTAAATGTATCTAAATGTATCCAACTCTAGATACGATTCTTGACCATACATACAGAATGAAAATTCAAAACTGAAATGTGGGTTTGAAGAGACTATAGAGGTATTTTGAAAGCAAATATATATGTCTTTAATTGTCCTTTCAAGTGTACAGGTAATGTAAATATTAAGAACCCTCATTCAAATAAATATGACAGGGTGTGCAGCAAGACCGGTCTGCCTTAAGCGGCTGTTTGTCTGTTAAGGGGCAAAAGGGCATTAATGATTAAACTCTGTGTTTAGAGTAAGAGATTTAAGATCCTTCCGGCTCTAAACACACATATCATTGTTATCATTGTTAACCTGGATGTATTGGCATATTAGAGGTTTTAAAATATCCAATAGCCCTGAAAGAAATCAATACTGCTAGTCACCTTTAATTTTAATATTTTTGATTTTTGATTTTTGATTTTTTTTTTTTAAAGATACTTTATAAAACTTAGGCCTAATGAAGAAGAAAACCACACTGATTTTTTTTCTTCACAGAACATTATTTGAAAAGCCCTATAAGGTTTAACCAATATTGTATTAAAAAATATCCTGGAGAGAAAGCTATAAATGGAAAAGTGATCAGATTTAAAATCTTTATGAAAATAGTTCTAAAACATACACACTTTCTTAAAAAGAAGGCTAAAAAGAGATTTGATCTACAACAAAAAACTGGCAAGAAAGAATCATAGGGCATTTACACGCCTAGGCCCTGTTTCATGAAAAAACATTACAAGTAACAGCTGGCAACAGTTCTATGATACAACCAACCAAACGTTATGATTTTGGTAGATTTATTGACTATTGGAGCTTGTTGTTATTGATGACACATTTCATGAACCAGGGCTATAATGTGCCTGGTGTGCGTAAGACATGGCAGAAAAAGAAAGGCATAAGTATTGATTTAAAATAAGGAGGTACAAAAAGAGACCTTGGAAAAACCCCAACATCATAAAATTTAAATACACATCCAATTGAAAAATCCACAAGTAAAATATAAATATCTTTCACGTGCTAAGCACACAAATGAGGAGAAAATGAACCACAAATAAATAAACGAATGAGACTTGCTAAATTGTTTTTAACTCTGAGTGTTTTAAGTTTCAGCCTTTGTTTTTAAACAAAATGCATGAATATGAAAGGGACATTCATCATCCATCATTTTAGGAACGGGAAGTGTTTTTCCCCTGCCATAAATCAGTCTAAGCCTCATGGAAAAATGAAGAGGTAAATCGGAAGAAAAAGTAAACAAACAAAAGAGAACGGGAGACCTGTCTGATAATATCACTGGCCACTTAAAGAAAACTTTTACAACTTGGGGGTAAAAAGGAGGATCAAAACCCAATACTAAATATCAAATAACCTTCATCCCATCAAGAATTAACAAATTACATTATCAACTACTTGTGAAGTGAGAAGTATACCAATCATTTTGATTTTGATAGAACTGCCGTTTTTAAAGAGAATTCGGTCACCGTTATGACATATCATAACAAGCAAAGAGTATCTGGTATTCATTTCAGGTTTCACAAGAATGCCTACTGCTCTAAAGGAACATGAAACATCTCTATTCCACTCTTGAGAGCCTTTTCTTGTATTTTGTCCATGAATTCAACGTCAAAAGACTTGACCTGTAGCTGGCACTTTAAAACACAATCGAAGCAGACAGATGCAGCACATCATAAGAAAAATCAACGGTTTCTTGAAAATACACGAAGGAACAACACAAGAAAATAAAAAATTGGGCGTTGATCATTTCAAGACACTTCAAGACAAACGATGACAAAATACTTCTATGAAATCTACCAAGGAACTAACTTTTTATCACAACGGTGTGTCCAGGTTTGCTCTATACAACGACTCTATTTATAATATAACTAGTGGCAGTATGATCTATGTTTCTCCCAGTAATCTCTGGTTAGAGATTTTGATACTAATTCACAGATTTCACAAATATATAATTTTGGTATTTGTTTGCATTCCACAAGTATTTGGCACAGTGATTTCATTTTTAAAACCTTTCTTCCATACTTTATCGGCTAATCAATGATTACGTTTTTGGAGTTCAAATTGAATCTCTCTCCAGTCTAATTTATCTATGTACAATACAACTGGAGTTTCAGGGTGCAGATCAAGCTCCGTTATCTCGTCTAGGGTTATCGGTTTCTCTTGTAATTTTCTGATAATTTACTTCTCTAATGCTAAACTGTCACACAAATACTGGTACACATACACAACAGTCAAGTAGTGAGTATCTCACGCTGCTGAAAACAGAAACTTGAAATATTATGCCAATGTCTTCAAGACGAGGTTGGTGGATAGAAGAGGGAGCGTTAGAACCAGTGAGGAGTTTGAGAGAAGCTGTTTGTCTTTAAGAGGCCGTGTTCTGCACAGGGTTTCTCGGTCCATACCAGACTTCCCTTTGAACCACGGGATGATCTGATTCAGAAAGAAACAGTGGATTGCTTCTTAGGACTCTTCTGCTCTACATCCACATCAGAGAGATACCTCAACAGAAAGACCATCACCAGCATGTCCTTGACATGGATTACTCTATGATATGCCAATGGTCTTCTGATCAAGGAAGATCTGTCACAACCGCAGATGACATCTTTCATGGCTCTTGCTCATCGATTGTGAGTCCAAGTCTTAGCACAAAAGATTGTCAGCGCCATCTTCAACAATGGATGGTTCTTAATTCCTGATGAGACGTGGCCTTGAGGTCCAGAGTGGATGGTTGCAGGTTGATCTGCGATTCCACCATAATCGAGAAAGGGGGTGTCCTCTGGAATACCGAGAGTGCCTTTGACCATGTCATCAAGACGACGTCCATTTTCCTTGTCGAGGACAAAGACGGGGTGATGAAGGGTGATGCGTTGCAATTGCAGTCTAGAAGAAGTCCAGAATATATCAAGACTGGATCATCACTGTATAGAAGTAGAGGGGTGGGGGATATGCAGAAGAGAGGTAGAGTTGAAATGAAGTGCAGCTCAGCCAATCAGTGAAGGCCATCCAAATCACATGACGACCCTCTGCGTCCAATCAAAGAGAGCTGCTTGTTTTTGACTCTGCAAGAGGCGAGAGAAGAAGAAAAATGGAAAAAATTGATGAAGTTTCATGAATAGAAGAATAAATTGAATGAAGGAAATCTTGTGTTGTGGTCCAGTGGATAAGTCTCTGGACTGTGAACCCCAAGGTACGAGGTTTGAATCCCTGCCACAACACTAACGTCCTTTGGCAAGAAGTTAATCTATGTTAGGATTATTCCTTGACATGTACTGTGCGATGATAATGGCTGCAGGAGCAATAGCTAGGGTGATAATTTCCAAAGCTCTTTGGAAGCGCAAAGGGACAGTATATGTGCTATAGAAGAACAGATTATTATTATCTACCATGTTATGATGTCAACAAGTTAATAATTATATGAAGCAATGGCAGAATAGTTTAAAAAGCAATATGAGTAAATTCAGAAACTGCTTCCTCTGTTGGATATAACTTGTAATTCTCCACACAATGGCGAGAAACATTAACTTTGAAGCTGGAACATGAACTCACAATGAAAGATAAATTGAGGGAGTTGTCTGTTTAGCATGCAATTGAGAGCAAACTTTCAAAACATTTCATCAATCCCTCCGTTTTCGCAAAGTCATACTAGATTCAAGTTGCTGGCATAACATAGAGGTCGGGTCAAGCCACTATTAATGACCCTGATGGCAGGAAATCGGCAGTTGAGGCCAATCTTTGTCATGAACGGCACACAACAGTTTATCTCGTTTGCCCTGTAACGAACCCGTCCTCTGGAAGCCTGACGAGGCCCAACAGCCAGCCTAAAATCATGTAAACAAACGGAACTCGGCAAAGGCAACAACCAGCGACCGCAGACACGCTAAGTAACACGTAGCATGGTACAGGAAACGCCAATGTGTGGGACTACAGGGCAGCCCCCGCCCGGTGCAACGTAAGGGATCCAACAGGAAATGCCAGTATGTGGGACTAGGGATAACCTTGACATTGGGTTGACAGGTGGATGAATAAATGAAACATCAGTGGAACGAACGTGGGCAGTCAGTCAGTCAATCAGGCTACGGAGAGAGATCAGTCTGGGAATGGCTTCCCAGTCTCTACGAATATATGACTAGCCTACATCTCCATTACTTGAAACACAACTCATTCTTGTTTTAACTTCCTTTCAAATAACATATTCTTTTTAGTATAAATACACGGGTGCAAGAAACTAAGGGAAAATTTGACTCCATTAAAGAATAAAGAAGCTAATGCCAGAGATATGAAAACCAGGGGTATCAGAACAAACAAGGGAAGAGAAATAACTCCGGAGTCCAAAACACTATTAGATAATAAACAACACATATTTTTTCCTGTGAACTTGAAAAGACATATAAGTTTACTTGAGGATATGAGTGATATCTATGTATTTTTCTTCTTCTATGGTTAATGAAATTCTGGCTCCTACGAGATGAAATCATGCTGCAGAAATTAATGCAGAAATAAGCAACAAACCAAATCCAACTTAATTAATTAAAAAAAGTGCTTTAAAAGCCCTCAGAGTGATTCTTACGAGGGATAAGAAAGAATAAGTTACGTACCATAGCTATGAGGCGTGTGCACTATCTATCTCTATCTACATCTACTCAGTAAAGATGCCTGGGGTCACAATCGTTTGACCCCGGAGGTCGAAGGTGATGGTGCATGGGAGGTCCTGGTTGACCGTCCATCATGAATCCACCCATAGGTTGACCATCAGGACTGTATGCCATGCCACCGGACATCCCTGGAACTTGAGAGAAATAAAAGGAAAGAGAAAAAAATAATAGTTTGTTAATTAGATGTTGAGTATGACTCAAATAATTTTGACAATATTTTGTCCGTTTGGAGTCAGAAGGATGTTAACTCTATGTAAAATGATGTTGTTAATGCCCTTCTGGCTCCAAACAGATGATTTCATTATCATGGGTAAATTCAGGTGCTTGAGATGCACTTACCTGATTGTGGACAAGAAAAAAGTGACAAAAACATATAATTTCTCAAGCAGAATATCTGTTAAAAACTGAAAAAGGGAAGGATACAGTTAATGGTGAGCTATGAAGGAAAGAGAAAAAAAGAGATGGAGAAGAACAAGAAATTATTAAAAGGAGGAAAAAGATTATGAAAAGAAAGGGGAAGGGAAGAAAAAGGAAAATACTGATGTTGAAATCTTTCGAGGAGCAATTCACTTGCTCCGAAGAGCCCCTTTCTTGTTTAACTATTCAGCGCCATCTAGTGGTCAATATTTGCCATTTATTCTGAATTGATAAACTCATAAGCAAACTTCTGGATGAAGTCCAACAAATGCCACATTACTTTCAAGATTGAGACATACACAGAGAAAAAAAACTCTGTGTGTGTGTGTGTGTGTGTGTGTGTGAGAGAGAGAGAGAGAGAGAGAGAGAGAGAGAGGTGGGAGAGAGGGAGAGAGAATACACCCTATTACATGATACGGCTGGTATTGGAAATATCCCATCTTTAATGGACCAGCTATCTCTATTTTCTTTTCTTCTTTTCTCTCCTACTTTCAGAGCGATATTTGGTCTCTAAGTAAACAACTCTCAAATTTCATCTTCAACCAAACATAATCCAGACGCCCTTGGATCAGGGCAGAGTGGGCGACACCCTAAGAAACAAAAAGATGGGGGTAAGGCAAGCTGAAGTTCAACTGAAACATTCCTCAATGGAGCCCAAGATTCTCTATTCCCCATTTGAGGTGACCTCTACTGACCTCTAGCAATTACGAATACGACCCTTCATTGCCAAAAAAAAAAGGGGGGAAAAAGGCCCCTCCTCTATTTCCTCCATCATCAAATAGTTTGAGCATGTTATAGACAGAGTTCCTTAGTGGTAACTGATTTGTGGCTATGTGATTATCATTCTTTTTTAATCTATTCAATCTTATGATATTGCCAATACACTACAGAAGTAGGAGGAGGCAAGAATTGAAACTCACACAATAAGTATCTACTAGTGAAGGAACTATGGCATGGAAGAAAAGGAGAGAGAGAGAGAGAGAGAGAGAGAGAGAGAGAGAGAGAGAGAGAAGGGGGAGACTTGAAGAGACAGAGAAAGATAGTGAGGGGAATTGAAGAAAAAAAGTATTGAGGAGGGAGTGGACAGAGATAGAGAATGAGAAAGAGAAAGAGAAAGAGAAAGAGAAGAGAGAGAGAGAAAGAGAAAGAGAAAGAGAAAGAGAAAGAGAAAGAGAAAGAGAGAGTGAGGGGATGATAAAGAAGGGAAGGAGAGGTATATACAGAAGAGGGAAGAGAGAAGAAAAAAAAGGAAGATCGAGAGAAAGAGAGAGAAAGAGAGAGAGAGAGAGAGAGAGATGTTTATACCCCAAGGGGATTCTCCAAATATTTCAGCATTGCCTTCAAAAAATAATCAGAGCACCCATTTTCTGCACAGAAAGCCACTATCTCATGACCTCTTGACATGACCCCAGATGACCCTACGTGACCTCAGGTGACCCTTCCAAACATTATCAAGGTTTGGGATGCCAGTCTCCTTTCTTCAGGAGATTTAAGATATGAATCCAACAAACTAGCTGATGGTAGGGATATGTTTCTCCAAGCCATTTTCAAAATAACAGTTTCAAGATATAAACCACGATCAAGCTTAGTTTTTTATTTTTTGTTGCGTGCATATGGGTCATAAAAATGAAGCTGAAATTGTAAGTTGTCTTCATCATGCATTTTTTTTCTATACAAAAATCATTTTCAAATCATTTTCAAATGAAGTAGCATTTAGTAAACATTGGTATAATTTGAACGAGCTTTCCATACATTGCTTTAAAACAACAATAGTATTTTATATATCTATATCTAGATTATTTATTGCCAATGTAACTTAAAATATTATTTTGGAAAGGATATTCTCCTACCTTTTTCTAACACAAACCTTTTTCTTCCTCCATCACTTTAAATCATTTTTAAACTACCCCCCCCCCCAAAAAAAAATACTCGATAAAAATATCAAAATTTGTCTCAATTTTTAAAAGCTTAATCTTTCTAGTTTCTAGTACTCCAAATTCCTCGCTATCTCTCTTTTCCCTCTTCATCCCTTTTGGATATATTTCTAGAATTAAATTTATTTTCTGGTTAGTGTATGTATCTTTCCTTTATTACTCATAAATGTCCATTTTCATAAAAACACAGACTCATCCTACCCCTCCCCCTTCCCCTATCACAGTATATATTAATCCTATTTGTTTCTCTCTGTCTTCGTCTTTCTTCCTCCGAATTGGCGGACACAAGTCTCTCTCTCTCTGAGCTGAGTCTGAGTGAACCTGTTTATGCTATCGGACAAATTAGCGTGAGCGTAGTTTTGACGTAGCTGTCAGTCCTGGGTTTGGTGGGGGCAGGGTTAGCCGGTGGACAAGTGGGTCGGTCAGGATGTGAGTCGAAGATGAGTGTCTCCACCTTTAATTATCTCATCCAATAAAATTAAACCCAATCCAAGGACACCGATGCCATGGATGTCTGCAGAGACCCAGATATACATATAAGAGAGAGAGAGAGAGTTTTATTTCTGTTCTCTCTGTTTTGATGCTAGTTTTGAAAGAAATCGAATATTCTTTTATAGAACTTAAAAGAAAGGAAGGGTTGATTATTTTTAAAGAGATTAATATGCGTCATTCTCCTATATCCCCCTTCATTTTTTCTTTCTACTTACTGGATATGCCAAGGTGTATCTATAATCTAATCTATCAAATCTATCAAATGTTTTATAAATTTGCCTACCACCGTTTCTGTTATCTATTCATATGTTAGCAGTTGCAATATCTAAGCAGGTATTGATATATATTCACTATTACCTCAATCAATCAAATCCTATTAATCATTTTATGCATATGTTTATTATTGTTTTATATTTTTAATCTATAAGGTATGAAGAAATTGAATGAATAATTTCTACTTCTTGCCATTGACACACTGAATTGCCCTTCACAATTCTTGCTCTTCATATAGGGTATTCTTCAAGATCGGAATTCCATGTCTGAAAAACCTTCCTTTAACATCCCCTCCCATTTTCACCCCCATCCCCTTAGCTCCCCCTGTAACCATGCAATGCATTCTACGCAATTGACCAAAATCTCCTTATTTCATTGATTAAACTAGCAACCCCCTATCCTATGCACATTCTCTTTTCCCTTTTCTTCCCACCCAATCCCCCTAAAACCAAAACATACATTTTAACTAATTGCACATAATCCCAGATTTCTTGGATTGAGATACATACTTCTATTTCATCTACTCAACCCTCACTGAACCACATAATGAATTTGACCCAATTGCCTATCACCCCCCCCCCCCCCAAGCATACTAGATCCCCTACCCTCTTCATTCCCTCATTGATCCCCACCCCCTTCGGACAATGAATTTGACCCAATTGCCTATCATCCCCATTTCATTTTTCAACTAACTACCCCCTTTTTTTACACGCATATCAGTATCCTTTCCCCCTCACCCCATCCCAATCCCCACCCCCTCCCCTCCAACCCTACTACGCATTCAGCCTATCATATTTCATTTATTGAACTAAATGCATAATTATTGGTAATTTGTGACGCATCATCCACGGTTTACACAACAGATTAATACTACCGGTACATGAAAAGCCTCCCATCCCACTACAGATTAGAAACATGTGTATCCTGCCTGACCATAGCTTGTCCTTTTGAACCAGACTCCCGGTCCCCAGACGAATTGCCTCCATTCAAAATACCTCAATTAACTCCTGATTCGATTAATGCTTCTACGCAATTTTGGAAGCAATTCCTGCTTCTTCTTTTTTATAAACATAAATTTCTGACCAGTTCCGTTCCTACTTAACAAAGCTCATTTGCAATGTTATCATCTATGGGACTTCATATATAAAAGCCATGGTCATTTTCATTCTGTCAAATGGAATGAATGCATGACCGTGCAATCAATGCAAATATCAATTTGCTTTTGTAAACCAGGGATTATGCAATTACATTCATATTTCTTGAATTTATTCTAAATGTAAAAATCGAGCCCAAGGAAAATACAAAAGATGGAGAAATTAAAAAGGAGGAAAAATTTAAACAAGTTCAGAATGATAAGACTTTGTCAAAAGTGCATTGGGACTAAAATTTTGAAATAGAAAACATATTAGAAATAACAAGACACAGACAGAGACACTACAATAACATTACCAAGAAAATCAATGGTACCATTGAGCAATAACAAAGTATAAAGTGGAAATTCCCAAAATACATGATTTTGCCTCGAAATGAGCCATGTACTACGCATTCCTCATGTTTTTTCACTCTCCAAAATTGTGCCTTCTCTTTCAATTTTCAGTGGTTCAAAAAGTTAACAGCTCAAGTGAAATTGTCAAAATTGCTAGGAGGTCTATTTCCACTTTGGGGGAAAACAATTAATCCATACACTCACACTCTTAAAGTAATAAGAATAAGTAGAGATAGAGAATAGACATAGTGGGATATGAGAGAGGGGGGGGGGGGGGGGGCTGGATTGTTAATTTTTTGAGCATTGACGAGAATAAGGGCTGGTAGCCAAGTCATCGAGCTGAAAGAACATGAGAAGGGGATTGGCTAATGAAGAAAAGACAAAGTTTGTAATGAAATAGGCAGGCAAGTCGTGATTGATGGTTTTCATCATATAAGTGAGAATTTCGCCTCCAGATTGTGCTGAAGTGGCGCTCCATTCTGACCCCCTGACATTCTCCCATCCGTTACGCCATTCACCAAAAGTGACAGCTTCGTCATAATTGGCGCTAAAGTCCGCTCTCTACGATTGTGGTGGTAGTTCTGCATGCGTAATTCTATTCTTGTTACGGGCCGAGGCTTGTTTTCTCTTTTGTTGTGCATCCTCTGGTGCGAATACACGGGTGTGATTTCTGGCTCAGCATTGATACTCGCGTAAATTGAAAGTCAGATGAAATTTCAATTGAAGTTTGGCTCTCATTTGAGAATGAATGAATGCATGAATGCAAGAGCCTAACACAAAAATGATTAAAATAAATAAATCTTGGAATACAATATACGTTTTACTCAAGTCTTTGGTTAAAGGAATCAATTTAATAACACTTGTGAGGTTTTGTGCCCCTGTCTGTCCCTTGAGATCTATGCAATTTTAAAGAAACTGCAATCCAATCACTTTGCCTTTAATATTGGACTCTCGGATATGCAGCCATTTTTGTTTGAATAATCAATCTAAATAATTGCAAGTGTAACTGCACAATACATAGACAAAACAAACCAGACCCTTCAACCTTGTCTTTCAAACTACACTTTCGCCAACAAAGATGAAATAATATTTCTTTACCTCTTTGTTATGAAAAGATTGTGATATTACAATTTATTCTTTATAGATACAGTTTTTATCTTCTCAGATCTCAGCTATAGAGTCATGAAGATTGATCACAAAAGTTCTTAGAAGATGTGAATTTCATCTATCACGGATAAATCATATTTTCACAATCATTTCATAAAAAGAGGAAAAGACAAATTATTCCAACTTTAAGGGCAACGGTTTATGAACCCGTTGATCACCAATTACAGAATTTCAAATTGAAATTCTATTATGATTGAGATCTTATACATATATACTCAAGCCAGGAGAGAGTATGATTACATAAACATCTTAAAGAAATTATTAGAACATTACATAATCATGACATTATATAATCATGTTTTTAATGTCTCGAGCAGCATGCGTGTCGTCATCATCATCATCATCATCGTTGCCATGGGCACCATCCAAAATGCTGATGCGCATTTCAGCTGATGCAAGATTTGGGTGGAGAACATTTTTGTTCGCAGGCCAGCCAGCAATGGTTAAATTGGGGAAAATCAGAGGGGTTTTAACATCCAAAAACTAGGTAAAATTTGTTTTACCTGCTTCATTCAAATTCATCAAATAATTGTTGGAAAGGGGTTGGGGGGGGGGGGGGGGAGCGGGAGGTCTGCATTTTCGCTGATGCAAGATTTGGGAGAGGTACATTTGTTTGGTGTTGTTGAGACATTCCAAAAAGTGGGGTTAAAAATGGGGGCTTGGGTGGGAGAGGAGAGATGAGGTTGGGGTTCTGTCATAACCAAATAAAGCTTAATCCATTTGCTAACGTGGTCCATATTCATTGTAGCAAATTTTCCTGAAATAATTGTTGGGACAAGACAGACCCCCAAACTTTTGGTCTGATTAACAATACCCAAAAGATATTCTGTTCAACGGCAAGATTGTTGGGAGTATACTTTCCGTTAAATATTTCATTCGGGCGAAAGATGCAAGATCATCACCAGCTAAAGCTTATAGGTGCCATTTAAGACAATTTTGGGTCTCCCTTAAGCATCTTAATTACTCCATTCAAATAAAACCTCCTTTTGAGGATGGTCACTTTTGTAGGACACTGTAAAATGAAATGAAAACAAAAAAATTATAAATATATCCCCAAGTAGGTGTTTATGCAACAAAAGAGGTGCCAGGGGGTATAAATTTTGGTTTCACAAAAGATGTAAGATGGTCCTCAATCCACATTCCCAATATTTTGTGAAGGGTGGGTTCAGAGAGGGGAGGAGGGGGGGGGGGGGGGGATGTTTCAAGGGGCTTGAGGTCGGTTGCAGATTTTCTGGTGGAATTTTTTTACGGTTCTTTCTTTCGGTTGCTGGCTGCAGACCATGGCCTGGTTGGTTGAGGCCTAAAAACATACCAGGAGTAGAGCCTGGAGAGAGACTAGGTGATGACTTACGCCGACGAGACTTGAAAACAGTTACTACGGCAGATTTACCTGCTCGATTTGACTGGTCAATCATGGGCTGTACTATCCGTCTCCTCGCATTGATAAACCTACAAGTGGAAGACAAGAATATAAAAGAAAAGATTTAAAACATTTCATTTGGATAGATATCATACTATATAAAAGACTTCAACTAAATATCAACGGGTTTGGGAGTATCACATAGAGCATTCTACAATCTAAAATGATAAAGTGACTTATAAATAAGTGCTTTAGGTTTGGTACTATTTTCCTAATTTTGTCATGCTGATATTCGAATCATAAATTCTGATGATTTAAGGCAAATTTGAAAGTATATATATCTTACGACTACTCCCTAAAGGACATTTTTTGGCAAAATTAATGATCGTTAATACCACTTTTCTACCTCTTTGTTAATTGTACCTTGCAGCATAGACACAAGTGTTTTTTTAATAGTAAAAGCAAAGCAATGCAAATTGCGATTACATATAAAACTATGTACACTTGATCCTGCATCGGTATATTCTCTCTCTCCCTTTCTCCCTCCCTGCCTCCTTCCCTCCACCTCGCCCTCACCCTCACCCCCGTGGCATTTCAGCCCCAGCAGGGGCGATACCGTCAGGGCGCAGGGGGGTCAGCGGGTCCGCCTCCGACTCACAGCGAGTCCTGGCCGACGATTATTGAGCTTCCATGCCTGTAACCCGATACAGTGATCGAAACGGGGGACTCTGCGGGAAATTAATCAGGAGTAATTCCGGGGATGGGGGTTTGGCCAGGGTGAAGCCGTAATGACTGGATGCTAGCTAGCCAAAGCCATTGGTTTCACCGAGTTATTCTCATACTGCATTTAATCAATATAGGAGTAACTGGCTTATGTTTTAATGACAGAGTGATTGAATCTGGCCTATGATGAATTACATCTCATCTCATCTCATCATCCAAACTTTAATCTAAAACTTCTCAATACTGGCGACATATTTCTGGAATTGTGTGATGAGGCTTGGAAGATAGGAAAAACACTAAAAAGTGTCAAGAATGGAGCTAACCTACTATACATATTAAAAGAGCTTACAATTATCCCAATGCTTGCTCAAGGCACATGTTATGATACCATCTATGGTATTGGAAATATAAATGTAGGCACACAGGAATGTGAACCAATTAAAACCAATAAAACATTATTTAATTGAGCTGTACATCTTTAATATAATATGGTAATGATTTTATGTTTTTGTTTCGTAGTGCATACTACATTATGACCATTTATTACTCTATGTAGTTCCAAAGTTCCAAAAAAAAATTAAAAATTTTAACACAAAGAGGAGAGTAAAATTGAAGTTGGAAGCCGAGGAGAAAATATAGTATCCATGCCAAAACTGAAACATCCAATCACACTACAGCTTTACCAAGCGACAAATTAACCAAAGCATAGTGTTCATACTGAACTCCACATCTCACAAAGTAACAACTAATTCAATGTTTTGGAGGCTTGCGTCTAGATGACCTCGGTCATGACATATATTTTTGCAGATATGGACAATTCTACTTTTTTCTTTCTTTAACAATCTTAGAATAGATCTTCCACTTTTCTTGGAATTCCTCAGTTATCATGTCACAAATTTGACAAACTCAGTGTGATTTTCAGCTGCAGAATATATTACTCCCAAGTGTGTCTTGAGAGAGAGAGAAAGAGAACATTATGTGCATATACCAACTAGTCTCTACACCGGGCATCAAGCCTTTTGCAAATCATATCAATGTAAGGATCTCATAACAAGCATTCCCTGTATACCGTAAAACAAAAAAAGAATTCACTTGAAATTGTTATGAACTGGAAGAAAAAAATCATGCTGTAAAACTTTATAGCAAGAAACAATTATACAATGTAATTAATCTGGACCACTTGTGTAGTCTCTAAAAGTTCTAGTATTACATTTAGTCTGCAAGCTATATAAGTTTCATTATGATTGTGTGAAAACGTTACGTCTTAATCTAAGATATTTTCATACAACCAAAAGATGATAAAAAAGATAACTAATTACAAAACAAGTCACATCACAGCCTTGTTTAATCTATGGCAATAATAGGATTTGTATAAAACATGCTGAGGCTTGAAATAGAAACATAGTTCTGTCTTATCAAACCCTGACAAGAGGTTACCTAAAGCCATAATACCCACCACCCTGTGCTAATCTCAGAGACGGCTGGATGCCGGAAAATTTTCATTTATCTGGATTTGGGAAAAGTCATGCCTGACCCTGATATTAAAAGGCCTATTCACAGCTAGCAGTGATTTGACTGAAGTCGGTCAAAAAATAGTCAAGATTAAGTAGCTTAAAATGCGTATTATATGTTGCTGCTTACTGTAAGAAGTATTAGGGAGTATGGTGACTGTTTTGAGTCTCATGAAAATTGAATAACTTGATGACTTATTGTATTTTGGTACTTGAAACCATAAAAAGTGTCTGGTGCTTGATGCTCAGATCAACAAGTTTTTTGTGAAGGGTTAATAACAATCCTGTTGAAAGGGAACAAAATGAATTAAAACATATATTAAACTCAGCTGCTATCTAGTTCAAGTAACAGTAAATTGAACAATAATCTTTATTGCTTCAGCAATTAAAACTAAACAGTTTAGAAATTTGACCAAAATCTATGTTTGCACCCTTCTAACACAAGGGCACACAATGATAAGTTGCTCATTGACTTGACATGCTGGGCCACTACCCTCTACTCCTTCCCAAATCCAAATGTCCGAACAATTCAAAGCAAACTATTGAGTTACAGACGGACGGACGGATTACCGATAAGGATTTGACATGATCTTGGGATGGTGTAGCAAAAAGCAGGTAAAGAATTCCATCTCAGTCTTTCACCCTTTCCTTCCATCTTGTATTCTTCTTTCTTCCATATCTCATACACTCGTATCATTTAAAGGAAGAATCATTTAAAAGTGAATATTAGAGTTGCACATTTGTCAAATCTCCTCTCAAAGAAACATACGCTCACAGGGTCAAAGTTCACCCTAAAAAAGGGAAAATAGGCATACCAGTTACAAAATTAAACAAGAAAAATAACTGATGTTTTCACTTTTTGTATACAAGAGCCACTTCAGGTATTAACAGATAATTGTTGACAGCTGGTCACACCAGTAGACCCTGCAAGGAGAGCCCCAAATAGGCCAATTAAATTGGTTCGCTTCTGCTCAGATGATGTTATGTATCACTAATCTAATAAAAAACAAAAGTAAGTAGGCCAAACGTGAATATAATCTGTTTAGCACCAGAAGGGCATCAACTATTAACATACTTTAACACTAACTGAAAGTCCAGACCTTCTGGCTCCGAATAGCCGATACTCACAATTGCTGCCTCAAAATATTACCAAACAGATTGCATAATATTAAAGAAAATTTCCCTCCCCCCCCCCAAAAAAAAGGTCATATACTTCGTATTTTGCATCAAAATTTTATTGCATTTTTGTACAATAACAAAGCAAAATTGGAGAGTGGATCTACAGGTCAAAATGTTTTTTGGGTGGTACTGGGGATTTTGTATGACCTGAATCTGTCTGCTTGAGTCATTCTCGGCTTTTCTCTGAAGTCGAGAGGAAAAGAGAAATTATGAGAGAGAGAGAAAAAAAAAAGAGACATTGCATTGTCTGAAATCATCAAATTCGAAAAGTGCCGTTCTAGGTTATAGCAAGCGAAAAATCTTAGAAACAGAAATTAACTAATTTTCATGTTGCACTATCCTTACAGGATCCGCGTCAAATGGTTTCCTCTCCTTTCCCCAGGTAATAGAGAGAGAGAGAGAGAGAGAGAGAGAGAGAGAGAGAGAGAGAGAGAAGTTAAAAAGTTTACAGAGTGATGTTTGTTGTATTCCATATTCATCAAGCTGATGCTAGCTTTTGTCGCTACAAAAAGATGAAGTAAGGAAGAAGAAGAGGGGTAGAAGAGATATTTGACTTGATTCAAAATGCAAATATAATTTCTTTCCTTTTTTAAGCTTTTCACTTCATCCCAATGATCTGAAATGGGCCTAAACCTAAATCTGAACTTGATCATATCATAAATAATAAATCATATATATTTCAAACAAGTATTTCTTAAACATTTCTGGGTAAAGATTCAAGGATGTAAAATAGCCTAAGTCTGTCACATTTTTCTCAGAATTTTGGTTGAAAAGAAGAAGGTGAAAGGGTGAACTGGCTTGATTTGTCATTCAAAATGCAAATGCCCCGGCCTTTCTCCTCTTCTTCATTCCCACTACATCCCTCCCTCCCTCCATCAAGAGAGGGCCTAAACTTGAACTTGAACTTGATCAACCTGTGCCGTTTCCGCCTTGACATCTGCGGCTTTTTGAACTGTTATTGCTTCATTTCCCCCGCCGGCGTTTCCCCCTCTCGACCATCATTCTCCGGGGGGACAACATTCAGCCTGCAGGTTTCCTGTCAAATCTAGCTCAAACCATGAATATGCAACGCTTCCTCATTTGCATGAACAAGCGATAACACAGGGGGGTAATTCAAGTTCTGTGTTTGCAACGCGACACAGGGCTCGCCTTAGCGCCAAAGACCTTTGAAAATACTGAATTACGCGGCGGTGGTAACTCCATAATTCCGCCATGAATAAGGCATGGCCTTTTCCGACCATCCCGCGACCGTCTAACGCCGTATCGCTTGTCAGTTCTCCGCATTCTTGCCGTTTCAGGATCCCAAGTCTGGGATCAAACTTCTTCTGTTTAATACAGGATAAGTGATTCTTTTTCTCTGTTCCCCTTTCAGTGACTCAAATCCATTCCTAAACATGAATTTCTAGAGTTTTGATTGCTGAGACATTTCCAAATCTTTAGGGTGTATGGTGTCTTTTCAGTGATGGTTGGATTACCACCGGGGCTCAGAGGCGAGATGTAGAAACTCAAGGAACAGCATTAGATGTCACGACGTCTTACGGTGTCCCCATGCTCTCTGCTCAGAACTCCTTTCAACCTGTGATATATAATGTTACCTACTCCCTCCCCCTTTCAACATAGTAGATAGAGATATTCTTGTCTTGATTATGAAGTTTACTTAATTCCTTTGAATACCG